CAATGTCGCTGGAATGTCACTAGAACGTCGCTGGAATGTCACTAGAACGTTGTTAGAATGTCACTAGAATTTCACTAGAATGTCGGTAGAACATCAGTAGGACGTCACTAGAACATCACTACAATGTCGCTGGAACGTCACTAGAACGTCACTAGACGTCGCCAGAACGTCACTAGAACGTCACTAGAACGTCATTAGAACGTCACTAGAACATCGCTACTATGTCGCTGGAATGTCACTAGAACGTCGCTAGAACGTCGTTAGAACGTCACTAGAATTTCACTAAAACGTCGTTAGAACGTCACTACAACGTCGCTAGAACGTTGCTAGAACATCACTAGAACGTCGTTAGAATGTCGGTAGCACGTCACTAGAACGTCGTTAGAACATCACTGGAACGTCACTGGAATGTCGTTAGAAAGTCACACAGACACGAGCGAAGACCTGAACTGTCACAGACTAAATGATCAGAACACGTGTTCAGATGGTTCAACAGGTTTCATTTAATATTCGACATCTGAAAAATGTCCAGAAACATTTAGAACGTTTAGATGAAGCTCAGAACATGTGGGAGACAGAACCGGAGCCTTTTTCACATATTTTAACATCTACAAGAAATATTTTAAAAATCCCAACAAGAATTCCTAAAACATCAGAACTTTGAGAGAACTGACAGATATTTATGATTAAACATCAGCATCAGCCTGTTTGTGTGTGTGTGTGTGTGTGTGTGTGTGTGTGTGTGTGTGTGTGTGTGTGTGTGTGTGTGTAAAACATGTTTTTAAACCAAACAGACATTTTCTGGACGTTTTATCCTGAACACGTCAGAACCTGTCATCAGCGTTGTTTTAGTTTCACTCATTAATAAATATTGATCTGAATAATTTGAAACACATGTTTTGATTTTTGTGATTTTTTAAATGTAAACATCTGAATCTGTGTTAATTAGTCGATGAATGAAACCGTACTGAAGCTAAACCGAGCGCTCTGATTGGCTCCCCAGAACCCCGTGGTGCACTTCGACCTCCCGCTGCGATTGGACGGCTGGTTTCCGCGGCAGCGAGTGCGACAGAAGCGCGAAGAGATCCGGAGTCTGATCATGAAGCTGCACCGGGACCAACTGGGCCGGGCCGGACCTAAGCCGGCGCCGAGCCGATGAACTAATCCGATTGGTTGAGAGTCGACCTGAATGTAAAGTTTGTACTCGTCAGCCTCACTGACGCTTCCTGTTTTATAAAATAAAAGTATTTATTTTACCGCCCACGACTGAAACTCTTATTCTGAAGGAGCAGGAGGAAGAGTGTGTGTGTGTGTGTGTCTGTGTGTGTCTCTCTGTGTGTGTGTTGTGTAATCCCCCCCTGCTGAGGACCAATCAGCTTACAGCTTATTAGCTGATTATCAGAGGGGGGGCGACGGAGCTCTGATACACTTAGAGATGAAACAAGAATCAAACGACCAGCTCAAGACCCGGTTCTGGTCCTGTTATTGGTTCTGATAGTTCTGGTCCTGGTCCTGATCCTGATGGTTCTGGTTCTGGTCCTAGTCCTGATGGTCCTGGTCCTGGTCCTGGTGGTTCTGGTCCAGCAGCAGTTTCTCTGCTGATGGATTTAAGTTCCTAAAATAATCTGGTGAAAAAGAACCAGAACTGTGTGTCTGAGGGTCCGACTGCAACACGCTGATCAGTATGTTCTGATCGATCGGATCTGTTCTGTTACCCAGTAGAAGCTGTTCTAGGCTGAAGGAGGCTCGTTATAGACGACTGATCGGTTTATTGATCAGTCTGAGGACCAGCAGCAGAGCTGATCAGCTGGTTCTACCAGCAGGATGATTGATCCGGTTCATGGATCAGCTGGTTCTGCTGTGAGCTCTAAAGTGGAACCAGCTGTTCTGAAGGTTGAATAAAGGAACCAGAACTCCTGAGCTCTGCCATGGTGGACCGGGCCTCCTCTGAACTGGGACTGGGCCTCCTCTGTACCAGGACCGGGCCCTGTACTGGCACCGGGACTGAGGGACCAGCTCCTCCATCCGGGCCTCTGTTGGAGGATTCT